AAGACATAGAATCATAAGAAGTATTCCCCAGCAACAGTTAGCAACTGAACTGGCTGGCATGCAGTTCCCTGTATTTTTATTTTAACCGTTGTCTTAATTTGCATCTCTTTAGATGAACAGGCTTCTAAATTTATGCCAATCACTGACTCTTTTGGGGTGACCCATATAACCACCTTGTTTTGGACCTATGGACATATTTGGATTTATGGAAATGTGAGCACTGCTGCAAAATGGAACCCCCAGGGATGATATGACTAGTCACATAATGGCGGCTACAGGGGCCTGGCCATTCAAAAGTCAACTAATTAACTCAAGAAACCAAGTAAAAACAGAAGCAGGGCCTGAACTTCAAAGCTAATCTAAGTAGCCAAAGAAGCACAGTACTGTTGTTGTTGTTGAATTGCATTTATATCTTCCCTTGTTTCCTCTTATAAGGAACCCAAGGTATCTACATAGCTCCATTCTATCTCCAAACCAACTACCCTGCTAAGAAGGTTAGGCTAAGAATAAATGACTGGCTCAAATTCACCCCTGGAGCCTTAAAATGCCAATTTAAAGCTGCAGCCCAGTCCATGGTTAGGTGGAACTCAGTGGGAATGAGGTCTGTATGGGAATATTCTGCTCACCCTTTCTACACACACCTTGTCCGGGCTCAAGAAGAAAGAATAATGCTCCATGCCCCAGCAGGAAACGCCTTGCTCCCAGGGTCAGGCAGCCTGTTCTCACCGGCTGCCCCTGGGCCTCAGAGCCCTGATCCCGATAGGTGCTGTGCTGCAAACTAGGGAGAAAGGACTAGAAAGGGAGAGAGAAGGAGCAAGGCTGGAGGCTGGGAGAAGGAAGCGATGGCAAGAAAGGAATTGAGAGAAGAAGAAGAAAATGGCATGGGGCTAGGAGTGAGGCAGAAACAGTGAGAGAAACAGCCGGACTAGGAAGGGGAAGAACTTGCAAGGGAAAGAAACCACCAGGTTAGGGCGTGACAAGCAAACCAAGGGGATAGTGGGATGACCAGGAGCCTGGAGAGAGGGCACCTGTGGGAAATGGCGAGGTAAAGATATGAGAGGCAGAAGAAAGCAAGGCAAAGGCTCAGAGGGAGAACAGGCGGCAGAAGGAAACAGCAAGGCAAATGGTGGACTGTGAGAAGAGAGGTAGAAGAAGGTTTGTGTGGGCGGAACCAGAGGGAGGGAACCCTCCTTTTCCTCCCTGCCAAACACTGATCAGGTGAGCAAGAACCACCACCTGGCCCCAAAGTTTTTCAAGTCTTTCTTTAAAATACATTTTGCAGGGGCTGCTGGAAGTGAAGAGCTTTGTGGGGACAACTGGCTTTCCCTGTAGGCAACATAACATCCGATGGATGCTGCATTGGAGATTCGTGCTGCAACCAGTAAAAACAATCCCGCTTACCCTATGGCATTAATTGATTTGAAAGCAGGCATGGTTGGGCACTTAAGCTTTCCTTCCCAAATGCACACCGGGAACATCAATAATTGTGTTGTGCTTCTTTAGCGTCTTTGGCTCGGTTTAGATACATATATAGATTATAGCAATTCCATATAGATTGTAGAGACCTAGTCGAAAAAAAACTACCAGCATACGAATAAACCAGCAGTCGTTTTCATCACTGTAAGCAATGTTTCCTAAATAACATTTCAATAGTTTTAGCTAGAAATTAGCAATACTCAGGGGCAGCATTGTATAAGGGTCTAAACAGGGCAAGAGTCCCTCCAGAGAGGTTGGGCAGTTATTTGCTTTTCTGGGCTCCCTTAGGAGAATGCCACTGGTTGGGCTGGTACATGGCTGGAACAAAAGTGTTTTCTGCATTTCTTCCTAAGCAGCTTGCCACAGGAAACAGAGCTTGTGGTGTGACATTTGTTTTTCTTCTCAAACAGGCCATTTGATGACTTCACGGCTTCCTTCTGCTGCCTTAAAGTAGTTAATAAACTGTCATTTATCGATAAGGGGAAAGACACACTGGGTTTGCCAGGCTGGCATGGCTTTTTCCACTCTTCTTGCCCTACCTCAGCCCTTGGAGACTGCAGTAAGGAAGCAGTTGCTAGTTTTGGTGTCTGTGAAGGTGCTGGTGTTGTTGTGGGGGCATCAACGCAGGGGAGTCTTTTTCCGTCTTGCCTTTATCTCCAGAAGGAGAATTACAGTGGGAGGAGAGTTCCCTTTCCTTGATCAGGACCCTGGATTCCAGGGAGAGAGGTTTCCTTCTGCTGCTTGAGGATGGTCCATTTGACATGCCATGGGCGGGGGGTCCTTTCCCATTTTGCTGATAATTGGAGCAGAATAAAGGATCTCATGAACTATTGCTCACTGTATTTCCAACAGCTAAGTGATGTGCCCATCTCTCGGTTTACATTTGGAAATAGGGGCAGCATGAAAATACAGGGATGGGGAAGGAGAGGATTGCAGCAAAAGTTTAACTGAATAAAAAACCCAGTGGGGGATGGAAAGAAATGGTGGGGATGACCTGGAGGAGGCTGTTGCAGTTCTTAGGCAAACATACAGAAAGGACGGGGATCACTGGGATGCCGGGCAAGGCTGGGAAGATGCATCGGAGAGGGAGGAATTCATTCTGCCTGGGTCACCACAGAATTCTCTGCCTGGTAAGTTTGGGCAACACTCCGTGCAATCTAGAAACAGTGCAAGGTTGATGGCATGCTGTGTGAATGTAGCCATTCCGTACTGTGCATCTGTAGCAACTGAACTGTTTTCCCAACATTTGATCTTTGAGACAGAACATATCTAAATTGCTAGTCATGTGAATCATCTTTGGAAACCACAAAGGAAGCACCTCTCTATAATGTCCATTGCAGCTTAGAAAAAGGAATTGTTTCATCCTGGCCAAATTGTACATTATGGGTCGTTTCTGCACACTACTAAATGTAACTCCCCATAATACAGGCATGGGAAACTAAAGATTCACCCATGCAAGGAGATGAACGTGGTGAGTAATGTAAACTACAGATCCTGGCATTAGCTATATTTACCTTTGCTTAACAAAATGTCTGAGATGCCTGTAAGACAAAACGCCATTTGGCAAAGTGAAATAGAACCATGGCTCATCATGGTGCAAAATTTCTTGGGCTAGTAGGATTAATGTACAATTAATGGAACATAATGCTCACATTCTACCATCTTGCAGTAATGTTAAAACATTTGGCATAAACCGCACAACTGTTGCAAGAAATGCCACATAAAACACATTTATATGAATGGAAATGTGTGCAAGAAGAGTTAACTCAATACATTCCTTGATATAAATCTAGTGCAACTTTGCCTTTTAAGTCTTTTCATATTAAAGAAAGGCTGAGAGTTTAACATGCAAATGGAGAGATAACACAATGTTATTGTTAAAAAGAAGGTGTTCTTGTTGTTATTTCTTATAGCTGCTGTAGAGGGTTAGAAAAGATAACTATCACCCAACAAGCGTTACCTTTTATCTGTAAAAGAAATTCTCTAATGCAGGGGTAGGGCATGTTGTTTGCCCACCTTTCTTGCTACTCACCAGAGCAACCTACAGCTCCTTCTTAAACTTATTTTCATACCGGCAGCCAACACTGCTGTGAAGTGGCCCTCTACAGGAGCTGAAAACAAAGGCATTCTTTAATGAATCAGGGCTCAGACCCAGTCTCTGCCTTGTACATGTCCTTTGCCATGTCCCATTATGGTGGTGTCCAAGTGTTTCTCCAACTGCCTATGGGCCCAAATAGCTTGTCTACTGCTACTCTAATGAGCCTGGAGTATCAATGATTGAATTTAGAGTGGAGTGATTTCCACACATGAAAAATTCAGCTAGGTAGTAGGAGCGCTGACTCTCCTGCTTTAAAATTTAACTAGTACAGCGGAGCCAGTTGCCTTGGGAGTCTCCCATGATTAGTTCCAAATTCTCCTTAGAGGAATTCTGACACCCTGTTAATTAGCTGGTTTTGAGTGGGAGCTGGGCTTTCAGTGACTCCTATTTTGCCATCAGTAAAGTGTGATTTCCTAATAAATTTTCATCAAGCAAACTATTTCTGGTAACTCCCGCTAATTAACACCAGACTGCTAATAATAAATTAAGCTCTACGTGTTT